ATTTCTTTGTATCATATCAAATGGAAGAAAAACGTTACCTCACCACAATTCCCAAAACTTCTGAATTTGAAAATGATGATATGTTTCTTAAAACGCATTTTCTCTTCAGACACCATGAAGTTGGAATTTCATTTTCTTATTCGCACCAATGATAACACCGGAAGTTGTTTAAGGAGTTCAAATTGGAATTCAGCTAAAACGGAATATAGCCAGACACGGCTATTACTCTCATTAAAATAAATGCGTTAAGTACCTGCATGGCTTGAGACTTTGTCCGTATTTCATCATATCACACATTGTTATCAGCTGTTGCCACTCGCCATGATCCTGAATTCTCCCCAATCCTTTTTCTTGCCCTTTAAAGATTACTTTCTCAGAAAAGACATGACTATGAAGTTGATGATTGCTCCAACATGACGAATTTGTTCAAGAGGTTAGAAGTTATTTTGGGCGATTACTCAGAATTAGGATATTTATTTCTTTTTGGATTGAACCAAATATATTTACATATCAACAACTGTTCCTAAATGTATGTCTTTGTTATCATTTTAACCACTTGACTAATTATCCATGTGAGTTGCAGTTTCGTAATTAATCATGCATTAACATATATTGCTAACCATCATTCACATATGAGAGGGTGTGAGAAAAGTCTATATATATATCGCACTACTGATCCGTCATACTGAACTCAAACACTATGAAAGTTGTTCTTGGCGACTTGTGATTTGTCCAACTGAGACCTATCATGTACCACAATTCAACAATACTTAGCAGGAAACAGTCTTTTGTATTTATTTATTAACATAGAATTCTTCATTACATTTGTGCTATTTTTGCAAAACTTGTAACTTCACATGGTCACATAGTGTAATATGCTCAGTGAAGGATTTCCACGCACTCGTCAATGGGTTCGTAAAATATGTATTCAATGTGAATATAAACTGAATGTGTATGCTGGTCAAAGAAACCATAGCTACTTAACTATTTCTATAGACAGTGACATGTGACGCTTCTTCTGTCTGCTTTTTAAAAAATGAAATGAAAAAACCCTTAAAATTTGGTCATGTGTAGTTCTTGATCAACATTTGTCAACACTTCAAATGCATGCCATGCTTCAGAATATTAAACGGAGTTGTAATCATTCTTTTACAGCCACCATATTACAAGACTGGTCAGCTGCGGATCGAGATCGACTGCAGCCAGGCAAACGATTGGGTTGAGCTGGATGCTGTGAAGGTCACCGGGCATGCGTAGTCGCATATTTGAAGAGGTGCTAGACTATACCAGTCAACGGAAGTTCAAGGTGCTAGGCTGTAACAAAACGTTGATGTCTGCTGCTCTAGTTGGGGAGGTCCAGTGTCACGCCTAAAATATCATACATTAAAATGTATTGTAAGGTTTGTTAGCTATTTATTGTAAATTGTTCCAATGGGTTTCAATTAGAAACGATTCCATCGAGAGTGAAAGGTCAGAATGCCCCGTTAACTAGGGAAGAAATCTGACAAACCACCTGTAAGAATTGTTGCATCTCTGTCTTCAAAAGATACAATCGATTTGTCGAAAATGAAAGTGAATGCACTCTGAAGGTTGCACAGAAAACAGTATGTGAATGACTTAACATCCTTATTTATCCTTAGGAAAGACATTTAGGTAACAAGCAGGCATTTCCATCAACACCATTTGTGCTGCCCTCCTTGCTGTTCCTGTCCCCTTTCTGTACGAGCAAGAACTTCTTGCACTGGCAATCAAAACAAGACAATTTGCCAAAGAGTTTAACTTCTTCAGATATACTGACGATGTCATAGTGTTGAATCGTATCCAACTATCCATTTTCCTCCCACTTATTTACCAGGACGAATTTTAAGAAAAAAAGTATGTGCATGCATGTGCATCACAAGACCGATGTAAATGGTTTTAGCGTTCCCATAACAACTTTCCCCGAGTGTCCCGCAGTATTCCTAGAGCCTCTGATGCCTGTAATCAAGTATGTTCTTCCGTAGTGGACTTCAAAGAGCATCACTTAAAAGTTGACTGATCAGGGTTACACCATTCGATGTCTTTGTAATTTGCAGCAGAGAAGCGCCAGCGCAGCATACCAAGCGAACCAGATTGGCGAACTGCCTGATAAACGATTAAAGGGGCGTAAAATATCTCACTTTATGCCACGGTATATGAGTGATACATGGATGAGGGAGATTTTGATACTGTTGTGAACAACATGTCTCTAAGTAAAGGGTTTCATTATTCGGATGGAGCACGTGTCCTTGGACATTGGTAACTGTATTTCATTGTCCCAGGACTGAATTACTGCTCTAACCAATGATGCTCCATTATATCACAGAGTTGACCCTTTGTCTTGCCTTGTCTGAATCCGAATCCTCTGTGTTCGATATAAATGGTTGAATATTGATTGATCTTGTGTGGTTATTGACTGTACGCTATTTCCCGTACGTACCGATTTCTGTTTAAACCATAGGCTACTAGTAAAGAGTAGCAAACACGTACATTCACTTTAAGCAATAAGCCTTAAGTTATATATTTAATTTTCTCGTACAACCCTCTTCAGTTAGGGCCGGTGTCTTGTTTGTTGCTTAACGCCACACTCAACCCTGTGATCAACCAGACAATCCAGTGATCAACATCATGGGCATCGATCTAAGCAGTTGGGATTGCGATGACATTACTCAACCAAGTCAACGAGCCTGATCATTCGACTAGTCGAGTCGAACGACAAGCATGGATTGCTGAATTCTAACCCGGATCTTCGCGGGACCATTATACTGAAATAATATTTAAGTTTATCATTGTGGATGGTGTGGGGATACTTATCAAAAAGTGGTGAATGTACGTTCCACACATCTCAGAGCTAATATTAAACACATGTATTTCAAGAAGAATCCGAATCCATTTTTCAAAAATAATATATCACTTGTACACACAAGAAGAGACAAACCTTTATACTTGAAATGAAATAAGACGATATGTTTGATAGGCATTCAGAGTGAGTTTAGTTTTACGCCGCACTCAGCAATATTCCAGCTTTATGGCGGCGGTCTGTCAATAATCGATTCCGGACCAGACAATCCAGTGATCAACAGCATGAGCGCAATTGGGAACCGATGATATGTGTCAACGAAGTCAGCGAGCCTAACCACCCGATCCCGTGTGTCGCCTCTTACTAGAAGCATGGGTTACTGAAGATCAATATTCTAACCCGGACCTTCACGGGTGATAGGCATTTAGAAGCTGATAGGGTAATACAAGACACTTGATATGGATGTGCCACTTCTTTATTATTTACACACGGCGTTTCTGGGCTAATATTAATGAAGGGGCAATTATTAGCAGAGAAACGTTTAGTGTAAATAATTACACATACATATCAAGTGTCTTGTATTAAATAGGACGAGGTAAGAATGTAAGGCATAGTATATTCGTTCAAAGAGGACGTTTAGTTCTGGAGTCCAGGACAATGACCAAGGACATGTATAAACATGACACTTACATTTAACACGGTATCGATTGGGCGTAAGTACTGGTCACTGTTCTGGGACATTGTCAATAATGGTGTATTGTCCCGGTTGGTCTTCAGTGTATGATGCCCCAAGATCCACATTCACTGATCACGAAGACACTGGATCCCAAACACATATGGCATTATTTGTCTTAATTACACAGAACTCCAAACGCCTTACCCTTCTATTCTGTTGGGCTGATCTTATTCTTTATGCCTGTCGATTTTATGCACATAATTTACAAACGTTTACAGCGAAACGCAGTCAGTCCGAGATACTGACGACACAGCACACTGATGTGTTATACAGTATCGGTGTTTCATCTGTTGTCCCTTAATGATGAGACCCGTGATGATCCGGGTTAGAATTGGTCTTCAGCAACCCATGATTATTGTAAGAAGCGACTAACAGAATAGGGCATGTCAACGTATCTCAGCAGCGTAGATCGATGCTCATGATGTTGATCACTGGATCGTCTGGTGCAGACTCGATTATTTACAGACCGCCGCCAAATAGCTGGAATATTGCTGAGTGCGGCGTAAAACTAAACTCACTCACCTTACTGATGAATTAACGTAAAACAATAGTTAAGCACTATATTTCATATGTCCGCCTTTGTCTGTGGTTGTAAAGGAAAGGAGGACAGTCTGATAACTACATTACATGATAAGTCCTTTTGTTCACGTTTTGCAAAAAATGTTTTGAATCAATATACAGTATTGTAACTTAATCTGTAATAACGGATGCTAAATGAACGACCAATATTCAATAATGCGGATGAACGAACTTTTCCTGTATTGCATAGTATGCATTACTTTGAACGAAGGACTGCACATTGTATCAAATTATTACTCAGATAATATACTGCAGAACATCTACGTGCGTCGAACTGAAATTATGAGTATATAATTCTACGACGTCCTGAACGTATATAAACAACATGATGAAAACATTTCATTTTCAAAAGGCAAATGGAGGATATTTCCATATTCGACACATCAGGTACCAAAATGAAGTCTTAAGCTATTGTCTGATCTTGTGTCAGGCGAACATTCGATATTTGTATGATTGCATGACAGCTAGGTGCTATCTGTGGGGCAGCAACGCCCACTTTTTCTTAACACCTGGTATCAGCGATTAAAAGCATCTGATCCTGCCATATAACTGTCCAATGAAATGCTTTTAGAGTGAGTGAGTATGGTTTTACGCCCCTGATAGCAATATTCCTGAAATATCACGGCGGGGGACACCAGAAATGGGCTTTACACATTGTACCCATGTGGGGAATCGAACCCTTTACCATTAGGCTACCCCACCGCCCCGAATGCTTTTAGAAGACATTAATCATAAACATTGTTACGTCATAAATTTGATACTAACAGTTGACAGGGAATCAGTCCGTAAAACAACTCGGTGTGGAACTAACAAACAACGAAGAGGTGGGATGGAATTACCAATTGTATTCTAACATTAACAGGGTTTACAAATTGATTCAAATCACTACAAAGGTATTTCTCTGGCAGTATCAATTCAAAGGTTCTAAGTACAAAAGAAGTGATTATTGTAATAAAATCAGGTAGCTATATTCACCTCATTGCAACGATGGCCAATGTTATTTGGACCTGTGCATGGATGTAAAGTTAGAAATGATAAGTGTCACTACTGCTTACAGCAGCTGTGATACCAGTGAAACAGGACGATTGAAGTGATTACAAATTGTAACCTAAAATCTAAAGATGCAGTGGCATAAAATACCACCAAACCATAGGACCTTTGCTGTATCAGAAGAAGTATATGACTTTCCTCCTAGGTTGGTTAACGATGTACGGATCCACTTCCATGTTACAGTGCAATATTCAGACCTCAAACGCCTCACATATTAGTTTAGTGTATAGTGCATACAAACTGCACGTTACAGTACTAGTGATTGATTCAAGCACCTGCTGTGACAGTCTGGAAGATGGAGATCCTCCAGTGTCCCCCACACCTCGGGCTTGAGTCACCTCTACACAGTACTAGTGATTGATTCAAGCACCTGCTGTGACAGTCTGGAAGATGGAGATCCTCCAGTGTCCCCCACACCTCGGGCTTGAGTCACCTCTACACAGTGAACTACATTCGGTCTCGGGCCTTATATTGTACCCATCTTTGATGACGTTGCCACAGAAGCATTCCTTTCCTCCCTGCAATGACAAGTAACATGCGCAAAATATATTTTCTGTTCATTTGAAAAATCCGTCCCCAAAACATCATTTTGTGATGCATGTGTTTGAACATTTAATTTTACGAAAGGGTATCAAAGCATTGAAGGTGTTTCTTCGCACAATTAGACAAAACAGTTGTGACGAGTCGTGGTTACTGTAATCCGATATGTTCTGATGGGCTGTCCTGGGGTAATGGTCTACGGTATTGGTGTGGTATGCAGGTCTGATGAACTGGTCTAATGTACTCGCCTGATGTATTGGTCAGATGTATTGGTCTGATGGACTAGTCTAATATACCAGTCGAATGCACTCGTGGGGCATACAGGTCTGATGAACTAGTCTCAAATATACCAGCCTAATCTACTCGTCAGATATACAGGTCTGATGAACTAGTTTAACATACTGGCCTAATCAACTCGTCGGATATACAGGTCTGATGAACTAGTCTTATATACCAGCCTAATCTACTCGTTGGATATACAGGTCTGATGAACTAGTCTCAAATATACCAGCCTAATCTACTCGTTGGATATACAGGTCTGATGAACTAGTTTACCATACCAGCCTAATCAACTCGCCGGATAAACAGGTCTGATGAACTAGTCTTATATACCGGCCGAATCTACTCGTTGGATATACAGGTCTGATGAACTAGTTTAACATACCAGCCTAATCTACTCGTCAGATATACAGGTCTGATGAACTAGTCTTAAATACCAGCCTAATCTACTCGTGTGATATACAGGTCTGATGAACTAGTCTTATATACCAGCCTAATCTACTCGTGTGATATACAGGTCTGATGAACTAGTCTTAAATACCAGCCTAATCTACTCGTGTGATATACAGGTCTGATGAACTAGTCTTATATACCAGCCTAATCTACTCGTGTGATATACAGGTCTGATGAACTAGTCTTAAATACCAGCCTAATCTACTCGTGTGATATACAGGTCTGATGAACTAGTTTAACATACCGGCCTAATCTACTCGTCAGATATACAGGTCTGATGAATTAGTTTAACATACTGGCCTAATCAACTCGTCGGATATACAGGTCTGATGAACTAGTCTTATATACCAGCCTAATCTACTCGTTGGATATACAAGTCTGATGAACTAGTCTTATATACCAGCCTAATCTACTCGTTGGATATACAAGTCTGATGAACTAGTATACCATACCAGCCTAATCTACTCGTTGGATAAACAGGTCTGATGAACTAGTCTTATATACCGGCCGAATCTACTCGTTGGATATACAGGTCTGATGAACTAGTCTTAAATACCAGCCTAATCTACTCGTTGGATATACAGGTCTGATGAACTAGTTTAACATACTAGCCTAATCTACTCGTTGGATATACAGGTCTGATGAACTAGTCTTAAATACCAGCCTAATCTACTCGTGTGATATACAGTTCTGATGAACTAGTCTTATATACCAGCCTAATCTACTCGTGTGATATACAGGTCTGATGAACTAGTCTTAAATACCAGCCTAATCTACTCGTTGGATATACAGGTCTGATGAACTAGTTTAACATACCAGCCTAATCTACTCGTTGGATATACAGGTCTGATGAACTAGTCTTATATACCAGCCTAATCTACTCGTCAGATATACAGGTCTGATGAACTAGTTTAACATACCAGCCTAATCTACTCGTCAGATATACAGGTCTGATGAACTAGTCTTATATACCGGCCTAATCTACTCGTTGGATATACAGGTCTGATGAACTAGTCTCATATACCAGCCTAATCTACTCATGGGATATACAATTCTGATGGACTAGTTCAATATACCAGCCTGATATATTCATCTGATATTCAGTTCTGATAAACTGATCTCATGTACTCGTCTTCGTATAGAATACAGTACGATACTAAGAATAATAAGTAATGTTTTATATGTTTAATTCACTGAGGTTTTCAATTTTACATGTTGTAGACAGTAGGTCCAAATGGTAAAATAAGTGGGTCTGGTCTTCTTTATTAAGTCAGCCGTAAACTGAATGATACAGAGATCATCACATCATTTTTCTGTGAATTATCGGCCTGTAAATAATCGATTGACATCATCAGCAATTGGAGCATGATGACTAGTCAGCGAACCTGACCATCCGATCCCATTAGTCGCCTTGTACGACAAGCATGGGTTGCTGGAGAACAATTCTAACCCGGGTCGATTAATGGTACGTGCATTGTTGACCGTTTCGATAAATTAAATTTCAAAATGCAGATTTGTTTACCTCAACCCCGAAGTAGGTATACCCGAGGCCATGGCAGTTCAGCTTGCAGGCTTCAATGGTGAGGCAGACCAGGTCCGTTTTCAGGCCGTATGGAAGTATACGACGCCGGTTGTCGTTGTAACACGCAACGTATGTGTGCTCAACTGTAAACATATGTTGATTATGATCTCCAGCTGACAGGTACATGATCAGTCAAAGGATATTGGTTAATAACAAAATACACATAACAAATGCACATGATAGAATGAATTGTCGGTTACAGACCATTTCGAAATAATGAAACGCGACGAGAAGAATAAATCAATGGAAGAGTATTGTTACAAACATCGTAAATCACATAGTGTCAGAAATGTAGAACGTGAGGTTAATCCTACGACTACATAACTTTGAGACTGTTACACAAGTTCGCTATTATGAATAATAGGCAATGCCTGAATATTTAGTTTTGATTACCTGCTGAAACAAATGTCAGCTGAAAACAATAGTGCTGAAAATCAGCTAATAATAATAATAACAATGCTAATTTTTGCGCCTAGAATCCAGCACGATGCTGCTCTCCGGCGTTACATTATTTACCCTGACGGAATTGTACTTTCAAAGCTGCTACTAAGCGCTTCGCGCGACCGTATAGATCCGTACACCCGCTTCTCAGGTACCCATTTGAGCAGCTGGGTGGACTGAGTGCAATGTGGACGAAGTGCCTTGCCCAAGGACACAACACAACATGCGACCAGGTGTTCTTGTATCGGATGCTCATTATTATACGTTGACGAAGACGAATGAATACGTTGTGTCTAAACTTCTTTAGTTGGCAAGACAATACTGGATACATACACAAGACAACAATGAGCTGGGTTGCCGGCTCAGTCATAGATGAGGTGAGCGGAGTTCCAGCTCAACCCCATAGCGCTTCCTACGACAAGTCGATGTACAACGTGGTAGTGATAAGGATTAAGAATGCAGATTTGCGTCATATACATAATTACAATTAAGTCTCACATGGCTTTGCTACATAGTGTTTGAGAAAATCCAATGTTTCTTTTTCAAACGTTTTCTGTGTGTTGATAAAAATGTTTCTTCCAATGCTGTACTTGGTGAAATTGGCAGGACCCAATTATGCGTTAAATATTACGGCAGATGTATCAAATATTGGTGCAGAATATTACATATGGACAATAATCGACATCCCAAATCATGTTATGAAATGTTAAAGTTGCAAGACGATAGTGGCAGCTGCAACTGGGTTACGCATGTGCGTCTACTTTTATTCCGAACTGGATTTTCTTACGTTTGGATTACACAGGAATGTGGGAATATAGAAACGTTTATAAGTGAATTTAGACAAAGATGTCAAGATATTGAAATTCAAAATTGGCACTCTAGGATAACATCATCTTTTCTAAAAGTCTATGGAGCAATCAAGTCCGCCCTCGAACCTGAAAAATACATATTGGAACTTTGTCATAACAAGGACCTTATACGCATTTTATGCAAATTCCGCTGTTAAAGCCATAAGTTAAATGTTCAACAACAACGTTATAATAATAATATAAATTCCAATGTATTGATATGTGACAAATGTGATATTAACGTTACACAGGATGAATTTCATTTTTTACTTGTGTGTCCATTCTATTCTGTACAAAGAAAACTGTACTTACCTAGTTATTACCATACGTTCCCATCAAGATTAAAATTTAAACAACTTTTAACAACAACAAATGCACATCTATTGAAGTCAATAGCACTATTTCTAAAGCGTAACTTGCCTGTATAAAAATGAACTAATTACATTGTTTTTTTCTGTCCATCCGCACAATATTGTTCTTATATGTTTGTACTCTTGGCCATGTGGCCTCAAATACTAAATAAACTTCTTCTTCTTCTTCTTTGGCCTTTGGAAATATTTGACTGTCCTGAATCAGTCGCTGTGACACAATCGTGGAGGCTGACGTGCTAGTTCATCGAGAAACTTCGTGATAGGAGAAATAATTATTTTGCAAACAACAAATTCCACCTGAACTATCGAAAGGGGGATGAAGTCTTATTGCTCTGCCTATATTGTAACATTTGACGACAGACGTCAGATTGCAGAGCACAAGCACAATCAAACCGACGAGAACTTCAAGTAGATACCTTGAAGATATAGCTGACAGAACCCTGAGATTAATGATGAGGAAGCAATACGCCCACAGTAAAGATGTTCACTGTACCCCTACAATAATCAATGTCGGTTCCGAAGTGTAGACAGTCTCTCCACACTCATCCATTAGACAGCCATGCCGGTCCCCAAACGTTCTCAGTGATTTCACCTTAGCAATCTTGTTTGTCTACATTTTGCAATTGGATTTGAAAGAAACCAATGTATGGTGCCCACCTTTACTACTCCATGGGTAACGACTTGTGTAAAGCGCCTGACATACTCAAGTGCTTACGAGTTCCTTATAAAAAGGTTTCAATACGCAGCCGTACGCTCAAAATTGCGGAGGTTTCGATTACTTTGACTTATGTGTGACGCACATCTTGCGTATAAATAACGAATTCAGTGCATCCATTGCGCATGAGGTGCGTAACACTATTTATCTTGCTGAAAATAGCTGCATATGCAGTGCGCATGCCGAGCGTATTCCAGACGCCCCCAACTTATGCAAAACGCATGTCTGACGCACTTCCGACGAATGCCAAGCGTATTCCTGATTCATTAAAAAGGCGGTTGCTTCCCTCTGTTTTTTACCAGTGTAGATTCCATAGCGTGTACATCAACCTTTTGTCATGATAGGCCGCCCGAAACATCTGTGACGTTTGTCATAAGTTACAAATAAGTACAATACGCCGCCCGATCGCAGGACAAACGGTACTAATTCGCTGCAATACGCCGTTCAGCATGCGTTGTATCTGCGCTGCAAGTACGCTATGTATACGTCCAGTATACGCGACTCATAGCTCGTGCCAAGAGACCAGCGTATTACCGCGTATGAACCGTTTACCGATGCGGGACCGATGCACTGCGTATTTATAACTTATGACCTGCGTAACAGTGTACGCAACGTAGTGTTGTGCATGCCCAAAACGACCAGGTGCATTGGGTCGTACTGTGCGGATGCCTGCGTACATAAAACTTACACAAAACGATTGAGGTGGATATGAGGTGCATGTAGTGAGTGCGGCTGCGTATGAATGAAATGTCAATTCGCAACTCATAAGGAATTAGGATATGGAGAGGTGTGACAGGGCCTTATTCTCACGAGTGCAGATATGGACGAACTTGATTCAGTCATATCCAATACTGGGATCTTCTGGTTGAAAATGATAGGATGGAACTTATTGCCTGGTTGCAATCAATCGAGAACAAAGACGTGTCAACCACTTCATGACATGCGAAATATTTTAAATGTGAGATGCTAAGATGAAGAATCATATCAAAGCAAAGGAGTTTGATCTGCATTTTAATGATCAAATTTATCCATTTGAGATAGGTAATGTCCTAATTTAATAATAATAATATGTGTATTTATAATGCGCTGAATTCCACACATAAAGCATGCTCCAAGCGCTAAATATTTACAAATATTTACAAAGCAAAGGTTATGCTAGAACGAGGGTAAACATTTTGGAAAGTTATAGATTGTAATATTTTCTGAAAAGATGGGTTTTCAGGGACCTTTTAAATGAGTCAGTGGAAGGAGACATTTTGAGTTCAGTCGGGATTTGATTCCACAACTGTGGAGCACCATAGCTGAAGATGCTATTACAGTAGTCAATCTTTGAGAGAGCCAGAGATCGCACCAGTGCATGAGCTGCTGCTGTAGTAAGGGAGCTTCGGATGCTGCTGATGTTCCGCAAATGGAGGTAACAGGATTTGCAGACTGTGTCAATATGAGCTTTCAAAGAGAGATCAGAGTCCATATCAAGTCCACGATTTTTTACGGTTTTCGAAAATGGAATGACAGTGTTGCAAACTGTGATTGAGTTAGTCATCACTTGATGAAGATTTTTCTTAGTTACGACAAGCAACGCCTCGGTTTTCGTCTCATTCAGTTTGAGCAAATGTGTCGTCATCCATGTGTTTTCGTCACTTGTACACTCTGACAGTTGCTCACCCATTTGATCTGCTGTACTGGGATTGCACGAATCAGACAACTGGGTGTCATCTGCATAAAAATGGTGGCTCACATCATGTGTACTGATTACATCTCCTAGATCTCTTGTGTAAAGCGTAAACAACACTGGTCCTAGAACCGATCCTTGTGGTACTCCGAGGATAAATGGCTTTTCTTAGATGCATGATTTTTTATGATAACTGACTGCTGTTGATTGCTGAGGTATGAAACAAACCATGATAGTGACATTACGGTTACTCCAAATGAAGTCTCAAGTTGTCTCAGAAGTGTATGGTGGTCAAGAGTGTCAAAAGCGGCCGACAGGTCAAGAATAGTCTGTCTCACAGTCCCTGAACCACATTATTTTCCCTACTGCCAAGCCCTCTCTGCGGTGCTAAAGCCCTAACTAAAGCAAGTCTAGGAATCTCTGGTCTCCATGGGGCTCCTTTTCAATTTAAATGGGCTTGTTTGTTAATATCAAAGTTATATATATTCAGAGACTAAGCATTAGTCTAGGTCAAGAAGTACAACTAGGGCAATCTTTCCGCTGTCAACCGAGCAAAGCAAATCATTCGTGACACGAATGAGTGCCGTTTCCGTACTATGACGTAGTCTATAAGCAGACTGGAACTTTTCGATAAGTCCGTGCGCTCTAAGATGGGAGTTGAGTCTCACTTTCACAGCCCTTTCAACAAGTTTGGATAGAATGGGTAAATTGGAGACGGGACGGTAATTTTTCAAGTCATTTTGATCAGATCCTGCTTTCTTGATCAATGGTCTGATGACCGCTTCCTTCAGGGGTGTAGGAACTCTGCCTGAAGTTAAACTCAAATTTACCAATTTAGTTATTGGAACAATCAGAACATCAATAAATTCCAACAGAACTTTCGTTGGCATCGGATCCAAGACACATGTCGTTGGCTTACTATCTTAATCAGTTTAAAACCTTCAACTTCTGTGAATGGTTAAATACAGTCCATGACAGAACCATCGAACTGGCGTGTAGGCAGGTTTTGATTGTCCTTCATCTAACTTCTAACATGATCTTGTATGTTAGATATTTTTTCAGCAAAATATTGACTGAAACTATTCGCAAGATCAGATAAACTCTCTGATTTTGGTAGACACTCATATTTTTTCTTTCCAAGAGGAGATGACAAAAACTTGTGCATAGCTCCAGATCTACTTTCTAATCCCGCGATCCTTTTGGTGCAGTACTCGGTTTTTGATTTCCTGATGAGTTGTGTAACTCGGTTTCTGCAAGATCTGTATTTAGTCAAGATGATCCTCGATAGACAATTTTGGGACAGTTTGGTGGCGGTGATCCCGTATAGGATCAATGTCTGAGTCGTTAGGGGAAATCTTTATTTGAATAGGGATGGGTAGCGAGGGTTAATGTTTGTTGATTAGTGACACCCACAAGTAGCCCTTTGATGGCGATGGGGTGAGGTTGGTCCAGTGGCCTACTGGAGGAAATGTACCAATGTCGTTTTTAGGTGTGTTTTTTTAGTTGAGTTAGCACTTCGGCTTCCCAGTGTTGGTCGATAACTTGTCCACATGGGTACTAGGGTAGATGCTCATTGGGGAACTTAGGGTAGATGCTAAATGGAGTAGATGCTCATTGGGAGCATCAGGGTAGATGCTCATTGGGGAAATTAGGGTAGATGCTCATTGGGACATTTGGGTACATGTTCAATGATGATTAAACTCAGGAGTTGTCTCATCTGGGAGCAGGAGTTGCATAATGGTATTGTGATATCTTTTGATCACACCTTAACCATTACTAAATAAACTGTTCCTTGTTTTACCACACACAAATGCTTTGTTTTGTCCTCATGTTTGATGGCATACCTGTTTGGTTTACACGAATGGATGTCACCACACCTCAGTGGTCATGATAGAGGTAGTTGGACACTGCTTCTAAAGTCTGTGTCAGAAGTTTTTAAGATGGCACGACGTCAAACAGAGAAACACAGATAACAATACAAGACAACCATATAAGGGCATATACTATTGGCTACACAAACCATTGTTTGGCGTGGCAGGACATGTCGTAGTTGGTGTAGGTGTGGTTGTTGGAATCGTGGCAGTTGTTGCTGTGGTAGTGGCAGCTGAAAGAAAGGAAAAAAGATGAGGGAAAAGATAACTTATAGCAATGATTGCCTGATGTCGATACTCACATCATGACAGAAGGTCTCTCGTTCTATTTAAGCTTTTCCCCATGAATATTTAATGTTTACGACTACAAACAACGTCACCCCCAACAAAGTATTAACACTCTTCATGATATCGAACAACTGTACATCATACCTGTCAGTCCTTATCTGAATAAGTCATTCCACAACAATATCGTCTTGTCATCACAAGCTAATTATTATCATTTGAAGGTTAGGCAACATCTTATTCATCAATTATTAAGGAAGCGTCACGGTGAAGTACGCGCGTTTTGCATGGATTTCTTCACCGCAAGGGATCGGTGTTTATTTTAAAGGTTAAAGATATTTTTGTCACTATAAACATCCATTAAATAAAAGCGACAAAAGCATTTCCATACCTATAAATATCTATGCCACAGCAGAAAAGTTCGTTCTGCAAGTCCGACTACATCACGAGAATGTGATTATGTATCACTAGTAGCTGGTGAGAATACAAAGAGCGTATCCTTCACCTCAAAATATTGTAACCTGTAAACACTAATGCTGACGCTGCAGGAATATTGCCCGACATGATGGCAACGTTGCCTACTGAAAAAGTGAAATCATAGTCTTGTTATACAGTTTTGGGGAGAGTGTTTCTTACTCTGAATTTTGATGCAAAGATCTAACTGTGATCTCATTTGTTTCTAGTTCAGGTAGAAGGGAATCGGCTTCTTTGAGGTTATTAATATCAGATCATCGATACAACCGAAGCTGAGGTTATACTTTTTAAAAGAAACCTTGCCTTGACTTTGTCTAGGAGAGCAGGAATTCCGATGCCTATGCATAAAAACCAAGTTTTAAGGGGAACACTGCTGGTGTCCATTGTGACGCGTATTGTTTGTCTGGATGATTACAAACGGTACATAAATCAAACGGTACATAGATTTTATCTTTAAGGAAGTCTAACATTTAACAACATTTTCTCAGTAAACGTCCGATATACTCACTTAATTATTGTAACAAAGGTGTTAAACCGATTTCAAATTCCAGCAATAACAAGATGGGTCACACTATAAATCGGTTACACACATTGTACACATGTGGAGAACTGAACCCGGGTTTTCGGCGGGACGAGGGAATGCATTAACCACTAGACTACCCAACCGACCCTTAAAAAAAGACATAATTACACTGTTTAATTGACATGGTAATCAATAAACATGTCTTGCACATCCATCTTATTATCAGACTAATGGGGTGCCCCTTAAAGAGAGTACACCATTTGCATCGGTTCAGTGCTTTCATCGGTGGATTTGCTGGTAAAGAAAGTTGAGTACATACGTCCCTAATCCACGGCGTATCTTCAGATCAGAGGCAGATATAATTTCACTTCATGTTTTTAATGATGTGATGAAAGGTTGTGAAGTAAAACTGTCCTCCAACACAATTGATCAAAGCTGAATCGATATTCATGATAACAACTATACCCTTACAGCTTCGGGGATTATAAAATATAAATGTTAATATGATGTATTATAACCAAGACCACTGCTAATAACAAGAATAACAAGAATGTGTATGTCTGTATATCTTAACACCTCAACACAACCGATACTTTGCACGTCCCCACACAGTAGCGCCACAAAGGTCCATAGAATGCCAATAACAGAACGGAGTCAAGACCATTCCCCCTGAAACAGACCCCTGCCAGTTATATTGGGCCACTTGACGTAACTTCTATAGACTCACATGTTAATTTAGTGTAGCATAAATAATTTTCATGAATTTAATATTTGTAAGATCCAAGTAAACTTTTGCACATTTGTGAGGAATCATCTTACCTACAATCACATACTTTCTGTTTAATTTTCCGTTGCTTATTTATCGAATGGCAACAATTTAATCAACATATGTACAGTGCCGTGAACTCCCTTAACATGGCGGCCTATGGGATTGTACATTGTGGAACAATACAAAGTTGATAAATGTGATGTCATTAGTTAAATAGTGGTCTGAAAATTGAACAGAAAATATGTGCGCAGAGCAGAGATGATTTCACGTTTGCCTGTCAAATTTTACAAAGATCCAAAAGATTCTAAACTCATTTCATGAAAATTATTTATGATACACTGAAATAACATGTAGGTCTATGGACATCACGTCAAGTGGCCCAATATAACTGCCACGAGTCTGTAAGTCACAGTCATGATCTCGTTGGACGAACGTAGCGCAGCGCTGCCAGAGGAGCGGGACAGGCCCTCCCAATCTCCATCATCCAAACGCATGACTGACTGACTGACTGACTGACTGACTTTACATGTTTTAGTACAGACAGACAGACAGATATATAGATAGACATTTTTCGTGGTGCCGCGATATTCGACGTCTTGATTACACACCATATCATAGATCATGTTATGTGTTAGGCTGGCGCCAGAGGTAAGTTTAAATAGACGCTCCAGCCCGCAGGATGGTGAAAATGACAAGAAGTAACAATATGGTGTCACAAGCCTGTGCCCCGACAGACATTATGAAGCCTTGAAGCAGTTTCCCCTGGAATAATTTACAGACAACATAGCCCAGGACAGCATTTACTTCTGTCAACAAAGCATGGTAGGGCGAGAGAAAATTACATACACACAGACACACACACACAGACACAGACACACAGACACAGACACAGACACACACACACACACACACACACACACACACACACACACACACACACACACACACACACACACACACACACACACACACACCCCTGAAGTCTCCCTTGCTGTGGGGTTTATCGCAGCATGACGATGTTAACCTGATGAGTTTAGAGCTGATATGACGACAGATACCTTTACATCAACCTACACGTATCGTAGCTGCAGGGACATCTATCAGGTCAGGTTCATGAAAGCATTTCCTCAAGCTGATCACACCACTCAGCCCGTCAAACTGTATTCATATTCAGTGTGAATATCAATTATAAATAAAACAAATAATCATTTTAACGAACATCTTGTCTCAAAACATTGTGACTTTCTATTAAAATCAATACTGTTATGTGGTAATGTTTAGATTTATTTAAACTTGTGCTAGGGACAGCTCCAGTGAGGTTGAGGAGTACTTCAAAGAGCTTATTCCAGAATCACCTACATTTGAGCATAATTTTCTATCATTCTTTAACTCATGCATCTCATCTTACCTTATATCTCATGTTGCAACAATGTTTTATTCTCATAGTATATCAATACAATGTGGATTCTTGAAAATCGACCAAAATTTTCTTGAATCTTGATTCTGTGAAAACGTTTAATGTCAGCTTCAAACATTTTAGATAATTTACACTAACGTTGACTCAGAAAATTGTATGCTAATTGCTGAACTTCTGATTAATGAAGACGTTGTGACATTTTGGGATAAACATTCAGGAAAGACGTGGACATCACCAGTGTCACCAACTGTGCTCTTCTACACGAAACGAGATTATGCTCGAGTTAAACTAAGGTATTTGGCCAAGACCTTATATCCGGTCTTCAGCAACCCATGCTTGTCGTAAGAGGCGGCTAATGGATATCTAAGACAATTGAGTTCGCCTCATCAATTTTAGGTACAGTGTTTATAGATTGTAAAGTGAGTCATACGACTTTTACTCAGAAGGTGTTTAATCAGGCCTGAGGCAGTGGTTTGTTGGTCTGTTGTATAAGGCCGCATTCAGCAATATTTCAGCTATATGGAGGCGGTCTGTAACTAATTGCCAATCCAGTGATCGACAGCATGAGTATCGATCTACGCAATATGGTTACGATGACATGTGTCATACAAGTCAGCGAGCCTGATCTCCAGAACCCGTTGTACACCTCTTATGACAAACATGGGTTGCTGAAGACCAGTTCTAACCCGGATCGCCACTTGTAAATGATGCAGTGACGCTTTCGAGTTACTATGAAATAGAGGCACGTACAGATAACGTCGACACTCTGCGATAGACTTCATGTGATCATAGAAACGAGGAAACGGTATAATTCTTTTTTCAGATTGTTCCCTAGTTGGTGGAAATGTCAAATGTGTCGTTAAAATATCACGGAGAAAAGTAAAACATTTTAAAAAGTCGTATGAGTTAACGTTTCCTGTGAATGGCATAGTTTGAACTCACCTAACTTGTAGTAAAGGTAGTTCTGCTGTGCATGCTCTACACAATCGTCGTCAATGTTTAGACTTTTGTTGTACATATGACATGAGCTGTTGCCGGCATTGTAGATAAACGAGACACACAGAGGATCTGAAGTACACTTTCTGGCACAGTCCAGTTCACTAACAGCCACAGCTTGCTCTCTGATCCCTTTGGAACACAAATGGCCATTCAGATGGTCAGAATGGAGGAAGTTAAAGGTTCTTCCCGAAGCAATTGTTACGTGAAGCAAAATAGTGACAGAAAGGACAAGGCAACGAAGAAAGCCAATTGTCCTTCTCTGAAGCACCGGCATCAACATACACTTCATCTTTAAAAACATTTCTGTCTGAAATAGACTGTCTTTGTGAAGTGACTCTCCTAACACTGCTACTGAATGACGGCGCAACGTGAGGATATTTATATCAAACAGGATTCACGGCTAAAAATACATTACAGTTATGGAACACACTTAATTGTGATCAAGTACAAGTGGTAAATAGTCAATACAAATGTAGTTCGTCAAACTGAATGAATGAAGACACAAATATACATATTTCATAACAGGTAATCAATAACAGATTGTATTATTGGAACTGCTGTTAAGTGGTTATTGCAGTTCAGTATTACAACAAATCAATTTACCCATATCGAATATCAATTGATAATGTACCACTTTCATTTGTTCTGTCATGCATTGTGACGCATTGTACGGCGTCTTCAAGGATATCTTCAGTTTCCATCCCAGAATCATCAATATCTTTGTACAGAAAAAGTAGACTAAAGAGCTATCTGATAGTGTTGTGTAACAAGTATTTCAAGGGTATCACATGTTTTCTGTTGCCATTCAGTAGAGGACAGTGAGTTGCTCTATGTATACTTGTGCTATATTCAGAGTTATGCAAGAACAACGAGGTACGACAACTGCATGGTCCTTTCCAGCATAGTATAATCCGGAATATCATGGAAGGTTACACTGTATACAAAGGGCGTGTATATCGATGCTAATAATATGAATCACTCCATTGTCTGGTCCAAACTCGATCATTTACAAATCTTAGTCATATAGCAGGAAGATTGCTGAATGCGGCTTTAAGCAACAAAAAACATGTCACTAATTGTAAGTTGTATTCATTGTTATTAAAAATAACATTCGTCTGATCAATGTTTTATAATAAGTCATACTCATACGTTCATACTGTTGTCTAAACCATTACATGTCCACACTGATGCCCATACAGGCGGTTATAGATGAAATATTAACTCATCTGCAAAGCGTATACTGTCCTCCTCGTGGTATCTGAACTAAAATCTTGTGTTGCTTACTCCATGTTAGGCATAACAAGTTACTCTTGAATAAATAACCCGAAACCTCCAAACCGAAATCCAGAAGTGTCGAATTAATATTAGAAAGACTGTATGAATAAAACATCAACAATTTCTTTAGCCGTAGAAAGATTTTCTTGAATAGTTCTTTGTTGTTTGATGCCACGCTCGGCAATAATCCAGCTCTATGTCGGCGATCTGGACATAATCTAGACATGAAAAGGCAGGTATGGACACAATCCGTATAGATCTGTTAAACTGGGATACGATGGCACTCATCAACAGTCTCAGACTGTCCACCAGTTCCCCATTGAGAACAAACTTTAGTTAGTGGAGATCCTGGGTGACAGAAGATATTCTCCCTCAACACCCGTGAACGAGATCTTGCACCTTAATCAAATTATAGACATAAAACTCAACACCATAGCACATCCGGATAAAGGGATCACGTATCATTATTGGATTTGTTAAGTCCCTTTTCATAATCACTCTACTGGTGTATCACTACGGTTGGTTCTTTTATTGCATGGTACTGGTTTGGTGGCACGTCTACAGCCTCTCACTGTAATCACACACGTCGAAGTGATGCCATGGGAAAGTATTGGCTTGTATCTTTGCAGTATCGTGGTGACCACAGATGTAGAAACAGATTCAGAAATCTGTGAGAATCTATACATAATTTAAATGTTTCAAGATTTAATCGATAAATTGCTGTTGATACAATGGAACAGCTGTTTCTGATTCAGTGCATTACGTTTGGCACAAAACCATATTTCGAAATGGATGTCAATATGATTAAGGCGTTTTGGCATCGACGCGGACTGTTTCCTTCATATTTGTCTAACGTCTTAAAGAAAATCTGTCCTTTAACAATGATAATAAGAATAATGAGAAGGGCCTGATGATGTACGCCTCTCCGTGGTGGGCCTAGATAGGGGGATTATATTCCCTGAACTGAACGTACATCACCCAGGTAGGGCTGACCCCCCTAAAGCTGTTTTTTCACTGGGACAGACAAACAAGGAGCAAACCATCTTTCAACTCCGCAGCCCAGTCAGCCTTCCTCCGGTAGTCAAACCAACCACACTGGAGATGGGACTTGCCCCAGGGGAAGACACAGCACCCGATCAAGACTATCTTGGTCAAACCATCTCAAAACCACACTACTAGTGTGTGCGAAAGCGACAGGATGGCCTGATAATCCATGCATAAACGGCAAGTCGCTTAAGCTGCATTGGGACAATGCCATGCCCATGTATGCTTTCCTGACGGAGCAAAATCTCCGAGATCAATTCCGGCGGCTTAAAAATCTCATGCCCCGTGAGCCAGTTCAACCCACAACTGGTGCCCGTCAGGAGCCTTTGCATGAACAGAATGCTCATGTGGCAGCAGACCCAAAACTTCTGATGCTCGTCCGCGTTAACCTCTTCCTCTTCTCTTCTCTTAACCGCGTCTCCTCTTCCTGATGGAAACTCTTCCGGCGTAGAGCCAATTGGCCCCGAAATTTCGGAACCTCACTCTTTCTCTTCCTCTTCCTCAGTTGCAGATCTTTCCGAAAATCCTGTGTATATTTTGTTTCATTCTATTTATGATGAAATATCTGACATACGGAGGCCAATTAAACAAACAACTGAATCTTTTCCCAAAATGAAATTAATTTATTAAATGATATTATTTCTATGAAACTTTCTGTGGACTGTTCGTTACATGAAGTGAATTGTTGTGTCTATGCTGCCGCTCGAACCTAGGAGGAACTTCACACAGTTTCCAAAGAAAACACATCCAGTCCTAAGAACAATATACGAAGGAAAACCCGGTTTCAAGTACAATTAACAAAAACTAGAAGATACATTTCCTGGATAGAGCTTTGCCTGAAGTTATGATCATCAGGGAGTCCCGTGTCTAAACGACAAAAGTCAATTTGGAGAAAATTAAAATTACAGTATAAGACAACAAAAGAAAAAATACTTCCCCACATTGTCGATTCCCTTAAGGCCAAAATAAAGGTTTGGACTAAAAGAAAGAAAAAATAAAAATAAATTCATCAAACAGAATAAACAGTTTTAGAAATAATGAAAAACACTTCTACAGGCAACTTAAAACAAACGGTGATGGTGAGCATGATAAGCGGCCTCCCATGGATGCCAATGAAAGGTTCTGGAAACAGTTGTGGTCTGTACCCGGCGACTGTAACCTTGAGGCACCATGGGTCCGTGATTATGACCATGCAATGCATGAGAAAGTAACTAGGTCGTTTGTATGCTACATCTCACCAGATTGCCTGAGAAGTGTTATCAAAAAGTCCAAATCTAATACAGCTCCAGGGCCTGATGGCATTTGAAACCGGTACTGGAAACTGTTCCCCTGTGTCCAAACACCATTACTTCACTGCTTCAGTACTCTCGTGGACACAGTTGATGTTCCTCCGTGGTTCTGCAAAGGTCACACGATACTCCTCCCCAAGAAAGGAGACTTGACTGATCCCCAAAACTTCCGCCCTATCACATGTTTAAATACACAATACAAATTATTCACTGGGTGTTTGACAAACCTCGATCATCATACTGCTCTGCTAATGATATAAGTTATAGAGAGAGCAGAAGGGAGCGAGAAAGGGATGTTGGGGGTGCAAGGATCAACTTCTTGTACAGAAAATGATTTTGGAAGAGGCTAAAACATATCACCGCAACCTCTCCTTGCGCTGGATTGACTACAAAAAAGCATATGACTCTGTCCCTCATGAATGGATTCTGAAGTCTCTTCGTTGTATTGACCTCCCGGAGCGACTACTTGATTTATTCAAGTCTTTTAATGAGTTGCTGGTCGCCTCAACTTGAGATGTACTCGCAAGGGCAGGTGCAGACTTCGGAATCTATTCCAATTAGAAGGGGAATTTTTCAGGGGGACTCCTTCAGTCCTTTGCATTTTTGTTTGTCTCTAAATACTTTGAGCTTTCTGCTCAACAGAGAGGAGGGATACCTTCCCGGACCTCCTCAACACAGATCCCCAACAGCGCTTCCTCATCTTCTTTACATGGATGACATCGAGCTCCTTGCCAAAGGAGATACCAATTTGAAAGAACAGGTTCTCCTTGTCGAGTCCTTTTCTAATGATATTGGCATGACATTTGGACTCAACAAATGTAATGCTCTTCATTTAATGGTGGATCGGTCAAGTTACAGGGGGGAGGAGTTATTGAGCATCTTGCAATTGTGGAAGATCAGGCCTACACCTATCTTGGAATGCAAGTTCGAGACAAGCTCCAGAATGCTTAAATTCAAGACAAACTTCGGGCCGAGTACAAATATCGCTTAAAGAAATCTGGAGCTCAGAGCCTAAATGCTCGAAACAACGTCAAGGCCACCAATACTTTTGCTGTGCCAGTCCTCACCTATTCCTTTGGAGTAGTTGATTGGACAAAACAAGACATTCAGAGTCTTGACCGCCTGACCAGAAGGATCATGTCTGATAACAGAGCCCACCACCCTCGTTCCTCTCTCAACCGTTTATACATGCCAATCAATTCTGGAGGTGGGGGTTTGATTAATGTGGAGGCTCTTCATGATAGAATTCTTTTGTGTACTTTTGCACATATTTATTTATCAGATGATCCTCTGGTGATGCATGTGAAGACTCATGATGAAAGCAAAGAATTCCACAGCTATTTTAAGCGTGCCAAGGTTGTTGGACAGAATCTGAAATTTGAGGTTGATTTTGCTGATGGCGATGTATTACTGGACGGTACAGCGATGGGAGTAAACCAGGTGAAGTCCTTCACCAAGTCTGCCCAGAGTCGGTCTTTTGTGGAGAAGTTTTCTGAGAAGCCATTGCATCGTGTGTACATGCAGTGTTTGGAACAGAATAGCAATTCCACCGACTCCTTCGCCTGGATGAAGTCGGCTGGTCTCAAATGTGAAACTGAGGGCTTCCTTTTTGTTGCTCCGGACCAGTCACTTCCCACTCGTAATCGCCAAAATGTGATTCTTAAGGAAACTATCAATATGAAATGTCGACTGTGTAATGAATTTACAGAGACTGTCCAACACCTTGTTAGTGGATGCCCTTCCTTGGCACAAA